AAGCATAACAGCCAATTTAATGTTATGTATGAATAATTTTATACAAAGGAATTACTATATTTATTTAATTTTTACAGCATTATACTATTAGTTACCTAATATAAAAAATAAGATGCCCAAGTACACTAAACTACTTTGATTTCTACTATTTTATCAGACCCTTTCATTTTATCAGAAGCTTTGCTTAAAATGCTAAGAGTATAAACTTTCTATAGGTGATTGTTCTAATCTATTACTGTTCTCCTCCCTCATTCAACAAATATGAACTCTCTCGATCAGCCATAAATGAATTGAAGTGCAATCACAAATATGATTCTATAGCTCTCAAACTCGACTTTTTTTTTTCATTATGCAAGAAAAAAGTATTGCAATAAGAATTAATTTATATCCCTGGTCATAAAATCAAAAGGTAGAATATCAAAATTCAGGAGAGGTTGCATCAAACCAAAGTTGTTATGAGTGTGTTGTAATGTCACACTTGTGCTAAATTGTGCTGCTTGATGACAATTTCACTGGAGATGGAATAATAGATAAACACCAAAAAAAAATCTTAAATTTGTTTTAAATTCCTATGTATTTCTTATACACATGTTAACAAAATAAAATTTTAATTTAAAACTAAAAAGTAACCAACAAATTACATATGCATCATTCATTGATTTTTGACCACATAAAATTTCTATGGTTTTGATTTCTAAGCAGTCACATGGTTAATCAATGAAGCTATGACATACGAAAAATTTATTTTTTAAAAATATGTCTCTATTTTTTTAAACAACAAAAAACTCACCTTTAAAGCAACAATGAACTGCGAGTTTTTTTCTCGAGCTAAATATACTCGTCCAAATTTTCCTCTTCCAAGTGGTCGTCCAATATCAAAATCATCAATAGTAAATTCTTTCCTATAACACAGATATTTAAATAAAATTAACAAACAACTCAAATAATTTTAACAAGTAATCTTTTAAATTAATACATGACAATTTTCTCATTAAGAAAGGAACTGACATGAAAAAATGAAATAACTCATTGAAAACAGATACAATGTTATAGCAATGGATATTGACTACGAATGGTTCAAAATAATAAATCATAAAGGCAGCTTTAAAATAAACTCTTGTGATTCAGATTTAATCATTGAGAAATTTAGCAAACCAGGAACAATTTAAACACAATTAATTAAAATAAAGAAATAATTTATTAACTAATTTTTGATGGAAGGAATTACGAGATGTTTCCTAGCCATGATTAGTAAATATGAATTTTCAGGGTTCATACAGACTTCTGCACATAGAAATTAAGTACTTCTAAGAATCATCAATGAAAAAAATTAAGGACCTATATTAAGCAAATAGGAACTGAATAAGCTAAAGCAATTACCTACACTTGAACTTCCCTTTTGTAATTTATAAGAATAAATTAATCTGTAAATAGGATGCATTATTTTTAAACATAATCTAATATTTAAATTAATTATAAAACAAATTCAAGAATGAAATTAACTTCACAAGTTTTTTCAAGTAATTAGCATAAATTATAAAATTTCTTGAAACATTTACACTTATAAAAGTCCCACAGATTTTAAAGAAGATTACTGGATTTTATTTAAATTTTACTAACAGCTTTATACAGGGTTTGTACACATTTCTGCACACGGAATTTAACTACTTTTAAGGACTTTTAAAGACCATTAATAAAAAAAAAAAAAAATTAAGGACCTATGAGCAAATGGAAACTGAATAACTTCAACTAAAAATATTATTCTATGCCTGATTTTCATTTTTGTAATACCATTCTAAAAATAAAATAGAACCCTGAGTAGCATGTATTATTACTAAATATGAATTAATTAACATAATTATTAATAAGTTTGAAAATAAAATAAACTGTATGAAATTTATCAAGTAGCATTATCTATTTTACACTTATAATAGTTGGACATATTTGAAAGAAGATAAACAACATTTACGTTTTACTAATACAGGGTTCGTACACATTTCCTTACATGAAAATTAAGGACTTTTAAGGACCATCAAAGAAAAAATTAAGGACCTATCAGCAAACAAAAAAATGAATGGAATAAAGCAATTATCCATACAACCGACTTCATGCTTGTAATTTCACTTTAAAAAACTAACAGAAGTGTGTATATTATGCACTATTATTAAATTCAACTTAATACTTACCATAAAACAATTTTGAAAATTAAACTAACTCCCTACTATAAGTTATGAAGTAGATAACATTAAATGAGGAACATAATTTCTTGAAAAACATGTATAAGTGTATTTTACACTAATAACAGTCACTATTTTAGAGATTTACATGATTATTATTTAACTTATTTGATATTTATTTAAACATAGTCAACTACTATTATAATCACAATGTAAGAATATTTTGCAGATTAAAATAACTGATTTGTAAACATACAATTTATTTCCTTGGTTTTTTGAAAGATACTAGAATAATAAACTGTACAATAAAAGATACAAAACATTTGTGCTTTTTTTAAATCTGAAATCTTTTCAGCTATTTTAACATCTAATTTATTTATGTCTATTTCCTTTTCTTTAACTATTCTTCTAAGTTCATTTGCTTTGATAAACAAATCAATGTTCCTGCTGGTCTCAGCTTTATCTGCTAAAGCATCTACTTCTTCATTAATGTCTTTAATGTCCCTTTGAAGAAAGTTTTTCTTCTGCTTCATATAATCAATTTCTTCTTCAATAATATTTCTTTTCCTCTTTGAATTTTCAGATTTAGTTAAAGATTTTTGTTCTTCTAAATACTGAACTTCTAAATAACGAACTCCACTTCTTGCAGAAGCTGCTGCTGATCTCATTTCTTTATTAATTTCGATATTAAGAACACCTCCAGAAAATTTTATGTAATCAAATACTGTGCGTTGAAAAATGTATGATGAGTCACTTAAATTTTCAATTTCAATTGCTTTATTTACAGAGAAGCCCCTTTCCACAGAGGCCTGTTCATGTGACGAGATAAGAATACTTGTCACAGTGAATACTTGAATAGTGAAAATATACATTTTTTACTTATATATATATATATATATTTATTTCCTAAACAATATAGATTAATTGATTATATTATCTCCTAAGTTTAATTAAAGTAGAATTATTTTAAAAGAGTGAATCCATACTGGTAAGTTATATTTGAATATATATATTGAAAAGAAAATTAAAGCGACTGGTAATTAGACGAAGACCTATCTGGTCCAAAAATGCGCACATGCTGCAAAAAGATTTGAAAGAATAGTAAGTAGGAACATGCAGCAACCTTGCTAAAAGTTACCAGAAGTTCCACGAAATGTTGTAACATGTACTATATAAGAAATATATATATATATACATACAAAGTCCGAGATCCGGACATCTCCAATATCTGGAATGATCTAAAATCTGGACCTCAAAGCCACCACCAACCAATTTTTAGGGCTTTTTGAAGGGAAGGGTATGCTTACACACGCTTATTAGATTTTTTCCCTCATCATAAAAAAAATGCCAGAAATCCGATTCTTAATCTTAGTTTGGTGCTAAATAAAATATCTCATTATTGAAGAAATAATTATTTTAGCATAAATTTGTGTGATTAGTAACTTGACTCCATAGCTGCGTATCTGCTTGGCATAATCTCAAACCGAAACATTTGTTTATTTTACACCAACTAATATTTTATATCCTTGATGCCGAAATCGCATGAATCATTGTTTATTGTATTTTGCTTTCATCACCGCATGTTTATCAACGAATGACAACTTGAGTGATGAATCATGCAGCGATGCCAAATAACAGAGTATTATACGATTACAGATTTAAATTTAATGCGCTAAAATGTTGACAAGGGGAGATTTAGCAGAAATTTCTTTCCTTATGCTAAAAATAGATTTTGTTAATGATACTCATAGGACAAACGATTATATTTAGTGCTATTTGAATTAAGAATAACTGATTTGTTATTCACATAAAGCCAGAACCAGCTCCAAGAGCTCGCATGGCCGCACCAGGCGGCAGAATTTAGCGAAGTTAAACAGAAGTTTTTCATTGCAATGACAATGCCCAATCATCAATCAATTAACGGAGGGCGGAATCTGTAGTATATGGTTCTAAATCCAGAAAATACAGCTACCGATAGTGAAGAAGAAAAAGTAACAGAGAGGTTACTGAACGAGAAAAAATTTTGATTGACAAGTTATTCGGAATTCTCGACACAGCAATTACAGGACTTGAACAATGGAACTTAATAACTGAACAAGAAATTATATGTCTATAGTATTAGTCTAAAGTATTAGCAGAGCAGAGAAAACAAATCAAACAACTCACATTGAAAGAAATGTTTATTAAAGTAAACATATAAATATTAAGCTCTTTTCTTTTGGTAAATTTTGATACCCTTTAAATCATAAATGCTTCATTATTTCATAAATCACGATTTCATATTTTCAATTTTATAATTTCTACGTGCCATCTTAGTAGATTTAAAATGATCTAATATCCGGAAAAATCTCAAATCTAGGATCGCCGAAGTCCCGACGAGTCCAGACCTCGGACTTTGTACACTGATATATATATATATATATATATATATAATACGGAATGTATATTTTCAGTTAAACTTCTACCCAATAACTTTAGTAATTCATGAAAGTTAATTTTGCGTCTAGTTAATTCAGGAAAATTAGTTTCAATTAGTTGTTTTCAGCTTTAAAAATATTAAAAAATTTTTAAAACTTATTTATTTATTCAACTAATAATTTATTTTATTTATTTTCAACTAATAATTGTATCGCCATTAGCAAAAATTATGCGTTACTATCAACAACATAGGTTTTAAACCAAATACTTAATTGTCTATTGAAGCTTCAAAACGTATTTCCGAACTTCACTTTTTCAGCTAGCGTTACCGATTTTGCCCTTGGCGACCTAAAATCGAAATGGAGCCAACAGATTTCCCGCGAAATCGATATAACAGACCCTCTGCAGAAATAAACTCATAATCCCGATATCCCATACATATAGTATGTGCAAAAGAGAATAAACTCCGTAGAAGGTGATAAAAAATTAATTTATGGCTTAATTGAAACAAACACAGAAATTAAGCTAAGCAAAACCGTGTAAAAAACAAATTGAAATGATAAAACGAAACTTAATTTTCATGTGAATTTTCAGTGCTCTGACTCTCCCATTCTAGAAATTTCAATTTGTTTCAGACAAAGACCACATTTAAGCTTTAAAATTGCCATCCATCAATATCCAGTCTTTGTAGTCAGCTTGATGAAGCCACAGTTTATTGAAAATGCACTTTCCAGGCATCTCGTTCCTATTGGCGTCGGAAGGGTTGTGGCCTTCCAGGTTGGGTTTGCTCTAATTTTTGGCAAATATTTTCAGAATCCCCCTCCCTTTTTTTTTCTCGAGCACCTTCATCATCACTTTCGCCTCTTAAAGAACTTCCAGCTTCACGCTTTCGTCACAATCTGCCTAAATTTATGGATAACACCTGTTTCGAAAGATTGCGTGAATAGCCAATCAGACACCGATACTTTCGTTCGGGTAGCTAATTGTTTTTTTTTTTTAATCGTTTGCAACACAAATCTGCCAACAGATTGGTTAAGAGCTGTGTAATTTTAATTCCATATTCATGAGAAATCGTAATTCACACTTAGAATGGCAATCATTAGCAATGATAAGAAATGTCAAATGAGCAAAATTAAGGACCTTTTATACATTTTGGCTAATGACTTTTAAGGACCAAAAATCATTTTTGAAAAAATTAAGGACTTTTAAGGACCGTACGAACTCTGTAATAGTTAGCTTTATGTCGATTTTTTTTTGTCTCATTTTGTCACATACTTAGTCAGTCTAGAAGTTTAGTAAATAGCAGG